AGAAAATTATCAATATCAAATCTATTTCAAGTTAATTTGTTTCCTATTGATTTTGATATAACTCTGATTGCTAAATAGTAATTTATTAAATTTCCAACTGTAGATTTAATTACATCAGTTACGTTAGTTAATCAATACAATAAGATCAATTTATTACTACAATTAAAACATACTCTGTAAGGCTAAGCCAAGAGTTAACGAGATGGTTGCAAGAGACGAGACAAAATTAGGAGTAATTAACAACAATTTACCGAAAGTTAATCCAGCATCATGACGAGATAATCTTATCAAGAATAGATTAATCTGTAATGAGATTAAGTTATTATGGATTAAAAGGTTTTCAGATTAATCAGGTTGTTATTACCTGATTAGTGAATTCCACTGATTCAATGTTGAATGTTAGTGAATAAACTTTATCGAAAAGCTCATTGGACAATTGATTTACTCGAACTAAATAATAGGTGATCACAATTAAGTAAATGGTTTCACCAATAGATCGGAATATAGTGAGAATTAGTGACAATATGGACTGTTCGATGAAAAGTGCTCGAACAATGAATAAACAAAGACCAATGAGAAGAAGATAGAAAACAATTAACGATGAGAGTAAAAATCTATCAATGATTTTTGTTGTTTCGATTATCTTAGTGTACATTAATCGGCAGGAATTAATTTTCTCTTCGGGTTTTATCATCTGCGAATCTGTTGATTGTGTTGTAAGTTCTATGTGATTTAGGTGGTAATTGTGGACGATGAATGCTGATTCTAAATGGACACAAATCTCTAAAATGAATTGGAACTGGCTGAGTAGTGTAATCTTCGAGGGCATTAGAACCATGACATTTATTAAATATCGAATGATGAAATTCTTAGCATTTCCTGATGAATCGACATAACGAACATAAACTTTACCTGTTTCGCATAATATCTCATAGGAAATCGCTGCTATACCGAAAAGCTTGAGTGTTTTCTTTTGTTCCAAAATAAATTCAGCGGCTATTTCTCTGTTTTTATCGATAATCTCATGATAATTTCGTAGAAATTTTAAAAACAAAGCTCCATCAACTAAATAATAGCAACAACTTAATCCAACCAAAATGTAATTTGATTTGATCCAAACAGATTCGTAAACAATATACTTATTGATACGATCATTTTTCGAACGAATCGTTCCATAGAAAACTTCGTAAAGTCCAAATGTACCTCCGGCCACAGATAAAATAGAGACCAGAATATGGACTATTTTATTCAATCTATTTCGTTTCAAAATGGACTGAGAAAATAGGCTTGATGGAGCCATTTCAGTTTCAGTATATTTTTGAATACGCGAACTTATCATGATTAATGTATTAATCAAACTCTAGCAAACAAAAGGGTCCACAAGCAATCAACGATTTGCCTTTTCAGATCACTTTTCAATCAAAAATACATGAAGATCCATTTAGCTTGAATACTATTTATCATTCTGAAACTAATTTACTACATCGATAAAATTCAATTGTGATTTCGCAAACCGACTGATTGATTTCCATCTATTCGAGAGTATCTGAGAATGCGTTACCCACAATTCAATTTCACCTTTGATTTTTTGCAGAAAAATAAGAATTTAATTCAGTTGATCACATGAGTGATACAATTTCAATACTCATTTATCATACTAATAGATTCACTATAATGATTAATGGTCTTGATGACTGTTGGTTGTTTCCAACTGATTTCTAAGAAAACTGTGAACGATTAAGCTTATCAATCGCCCGTAAGGTGTACTGAGCATTGGTGTATTTATCGACCACAATAATTATTATTAAACTTATCCAATTAAGAGTAAAAGAACTCGTTGATTCCAAATGATCTAGGATAAGTTTGCGATCGCTAGTCCAAGGGTAAGAGATATGGTTGCAAGAGACGAGACAAAACTTGGAGTAATTCGTATTAATCGGGCAAAGGTAAATCCAGCATCATGTCTAGAGATTCGAGCTAGATAAAAGTTTATCTAAAAGGAGATATAAATGATTAGCAGTGTGAATCTAAAGTATTGTATTGAAAGATTAAGGCTTAAGACAGTCAATTGTATTATTACCTCATTTATAAATCCGTGTGATTTGATATCAAAGGAAAGGGAATAAACTTTGTTGAATAAATCGTTAGAATGTTGATTAACTTTAATCAAATGGTAAGTGATCACTATGAGGTAAACTGTTTCTCCGACCGATCGGGCAAGAGTGAGAATCAGCATAACGAAAGTTTTGGTGACGAAAATGACTCGAATGATAAATAGACACAGGCCAACGAAAAAAAGGTAAAAAGTAACGATTGTCATGGATAGAAATTTATCAATGGACTCAGTTGACTCAATGATCTCCGAGTACATGATTCGACATGATCTGATCGCTTTCTCCGATCGTTTCTCATTCAACGCACTTTCAATGGGCAGTTTGATGGCACTCAGGCAACGGTTGTGGACAGTAAAGGTCGATTCAAGTTGGGCACAATTTTCAAGAATTAGTTGTACCTGAAAAACTATCGCAAACTTTGAGGGTACAAGTACAAAAGCATACAGGGTATACTTGCATATATCATTCAGTGAGCCAACCAGTATATCGGGAATATAACGGGACTCAGCTTTTGCAATTTCGCAGAAAGCCTCATAGAAACTAGCATATATAACGAAAAAAGTGATCTTTCTATACTTTTGTCTAATATATTGATCGGCTAGTACTTTATCCTTCTCGATAATCTGATAATATCTTTGCAGAAATGATTTAAACAAAGTTCGGGTAAACAAATAAGATCCACAAGATAATCCAGTTAATATGTAATTCATTTTGATCCAAAGAGCTTCGTACTTTTTAATCTCATTCCCGAAATAATTTGTCTCATAAAGTATAATATAAATTCCGAATAATCCATTAACGATGGACATAATTGCTGTTGAAATATGGATTATTTGAGTTCTCTTGTTTCTTTGTAAAATAGATTGGGAAAATATCCCCGATGGAACAGTTTCTCCGACTTGATCCGAATGTTCAAACCCGAAAACTGATGCTACGTTTGGGAAATACATTTAGTCCCAACAATTACCGATAACTGTTATTAATTTAAACGAAATATTTTGAAAATCAACAAGAAAAAACTTTCATCTATTGCATAGAATTAAAAATCACTGAAAGTATTCAATCAACTGCGCAAACATCAGAATAGGAATAGATCATCCCAATCACTCATCAACAATTAATAAATGACAAAAGTTATTGGTGAATTATTTATTGTTGTCAAGTGGAAATTGAGAAATCAATCGAATCAACTATTGATATTAATCTTTAGAAGATAAACTTTGCAAGGATAATCCAAGGGTTAAGGCGATTGTTGCAAGAGATGAAACGAAATTCGGAGTGATTAATACAAGATTACCAAAGGTAAATCCAACATCTTGTCTTGATAATCTCAATAAGAATGTATTAATCTGAATTAGAAAGAGAAAAAAAAATCAGTATTAACCTATGAAGATTTTAAATTGGTAACCTTGGAAATCTTGTATATTGACCTCGTTGGAAAATTCAAACGATTTTGAACTAAACGAAAGTGTATAAACTTTGTCGTACAAATCGTTGGATAATCGATTGATTTTAACCAAATGATAAGTAATTAAAACGAGATAAACTGTTTCCCCAATGAATCGTAGGATCGCCAGAGTTACTTGCGAAAGAGATTGATCTTGAATGGACAAAGCTCGAACAATAAATAGACTTACACCAACGAATAGTAGATAACAGCTGACCAGTGTGAGTGCGAAAAAACGGTCGATATGATTAATCATCTCGATAATTTTACTATACATTAAACGATATGATTTAATTCTAGTAAGATAATATGATTGAACTGTGAATATACTTTCTCCACTTTGAACAGGCTCTAAGTCTTTCACGCAATGATCATGAACGACAAACACTGCTTCCAAATGGAAACAAACTTCAAGAATAAGTTGGAACGAAAAGACAATTCCAGCCTTATAAAACACCAGAATAATTACACGAACAGTATTATATATTATATAATGTTCAGGGTTGATTAGAGCAAAGGGAATACTATGATCAGTGCCTTCAGACAATTCATGAATTATTTCATGAAAGATGGAAAATAATAAGAAATATTTCATCATTTTCTGCTTACTATCAATATAATCAATTGCAATTCGTTTGCTTTTATCAACAATCCGCTGATAACTTGTGAGAAATAATGTAAATAATTTTCGTTTGAACAAATAATATCCACTAGTCAATCCGACCAGGGTAAGATTCAGCTGAATCCAAATGGCTTCGTACTTGCCTATTTGGTTAGTGAAACTCAACGGCTCACTGAAGATGATACAAAGTCCGAAAATACCTTTGATTATGAGCATTAGAGATGAAAATACATGAACTGTTTGGATTAATTTACTTTTCTTCAAAATTGATTGAGCAAAAACTCCCGATAATCGGTAAGATGAGGATTGAATCATCTCTGTAGAAATCATATTCAGAAATTAACTGATTACAACTAATTATTTAATCTCTATGTTTCTAGAATGACCATAAACTACCAATATGTGGAGATTTTATTTATAAATAAGTTAAAATGATACATGTACCAACTATATAACCGTTATTCTGAAAATTTAACTCTGTAACTTGATTGAAAAAATCGATTCATAATTTAAATCTATCGAGTGTAGACTAGAAAAGTTTTTTTTTCTACCAAACTAGAAATTAGTTTTCCATATTATTTTTTATTGATCGACTTTAAATATTATATGAATAACTTATCTATTGGTATTCAGATCGAGTTATCCTGAGAACTGTTCAAAAGAGACTCGCCAATGCTAATCCGAGAGTCAACGAGATGGTTGCAAGAGATGAGACAAAATTTGGAGTAATGAAGACCATCCGAGCGAAAGTAAATCCAAAATCAAGCCTTGAGATTCTTAATAGAAATAAATTAACCTGTGGATAGATTAATCTAGTGATTAGAATATTGAATTGAAGATTTCATTAGGTTTATAAACAAAGAGAATTTCTTACCTCATTAACGAATCCAAATGATTTGTTATCGAATGAAAGTTCGTAAACTTTGTTGAAAAGTTTATTCGATAGTTGATTAACTTTAATTAGATGGTATGTTATCAATATTAGATAGTTTGTCTCTCCAAAGAATTTGAATATCGTGAAAACTAAACTGGGCCTTGGTTTGACGAAATAACCGCGAATTGCAAACAGATCAAGTCCAACGAAGAAAATATAAAAAGTAAGCAACGAAAGAAACAGAAACTTATCGATTATTTTACAAGTCTTGATGATCTTTGAGTAGATAAATCGACTTAATCGAATCTTTTGTTCTGGAATATCTTTTCTCAAATCTAGATAATCGAATGATAAAGTGTTGAGACAACGTTTATGGACAGCGAAAACCGCTTCCAAATGGAAACAAATCTCGAGAATGAAATGAAATTGACTCAGAATGCCGAATTTATAGAAAAAAAGTATAATAGTAATCAAAGAGTATTTTACAAGATAATTGTCTGGACTCACTAAAGCTTCGGGAATATATCGAAGGTCACATTTTACTATCTCATAAGACGTTTCATAACAGAAACAATACAATACGAACAATTTAATCTTTGTGAACTGTTTCGTGGTAAATTCAGAAGCAAAAGTTTTATCATGATCAATTATCTCGGTATAACTTTTTAAGAACTCAATGAATAACGAACGATCAACCAAATAATAAGCACTCGTTATTCCGTACATTATATAAATAAATGCACTCCAAATTGTTTCAATCTTGGCAATTATGTTATTCGAATAGTCTGATTCGTAGAAAATAATAAACAGTCCAAATAAACCTTTGACGATTAACACTAGAGTCACTAATATATGGATTATCTGACTTAATCGATTTTGTCTCAAAATTGATTGAGCATATAAACTTGAAGGGTGAATCCATTGGTAAATAAATATTTGCATACCACCAAGTGGGCTAATCATGATTATCACTTTAATCTGATAACTTCCTGGATTCTTACTGGACTGTAAGTTACCTCAATTGATTGAAATGACCTTTAAAATAGAATTGTACTTTATGTCTTATTATAATGTGTGTTTGACATTTCTAAACACTATTAATCAATTACTCTATTGTTATCGAACTAATAAAATAACTTTGTTTCTCATTTTCTAAAGTTTTTTGAATTGATGTATAAGAAAACAAGTCAATACGACAAATTGAATTGTAACCTTTGCAAAGTATTAATCATGAATTCGACCTATTCAATCAAAATAACAGAATCAATATTCATTTATCATAAGGTAGAAAAAAAGAATCGGAGTAAATCAATTTCCAATCAGTTCCATATTTAGTCACGATTCGAATCAATTCAAGGGGGATGTTCGAGATCTCTGAGAACTTTTTTCCCCATTCAAAGAGACTCGCCAATGCTAATCCGAGAGTCAACGAGATGGTTGCAAGAGATGAGACGAAATTTGGAGTGATAAATATCATCCGAGCGAAAGTAAATCCAACATCATTTCTTGAGATTCTTAACAAGAATAGATTGACCTGAAAAATGGAGAAACAAAATTTGGATCAAAATTTCTTGCAATTATTAAGGCGTTTAGCTATTAGATTGGAGAAATCAACCTCATTCGAATACCAGAATGACTTTAATTCAAATGATAGAAAGTATATCTCGTTGAATAGTTTGTTCGATAACTGAATCACTCGAATCAAATGGTACGTGATTACGCTAATATACGTTGTCTCACCAATGAATCGTAACGAATTTAGAATCACAAAAGTGAGAGTTTTTTCACGTTCAAAAAGATCTCGAACAATAAAAAGAGATAGACCAACATACATGAAATAGAAACTGACCAATGTAAGGGTGAAAAATTTATCGATATATCGAGTAGCCTCGACTATCTTTGTGTACATTAATCGGCACAATTTCAATTTCTCGAGTGAACTTTTTTCTTTTGAATCTTTTCCGCACCAGGACAATTTAACTAAACATCGTTTATGGACATGAAATGCTGACTCTAGATGAGAGCAAATTTCCAATAGGAATTGTGATTGAATAATCAGGCCAGTTTTATATCCTATCAGGACGATGATGAATAAGATGTAGTGAGTAATATAATTTTCTGAGCCAAGTAAAGCCTCGGGAACATATTGAGTATCAGATTTTGCGATTTCATTGATGATCTCGTACCCGATTGACCATAATATGAAATATTTGATCTTTCTACGTTTCTTCATGATGAATTCATAGACATTTGACTCGTGGCCATGGATTATTTCATTATAACTTTTAACAAACTTTAAAAACAAAACCCTACTGAATAAATAATAGAAGATCGCTAATCCTGTGAAGATGTAATTGAGCTTATGCCAAACAGTTTCCAATTTTCTTAAAGGATTATTTGAATAATCTTTTTCCCAGAAAACTATGTACAGTCCAAGTGTACCTTTGGTGATTAGCATTAAAGATGCGAACACATGAACAAACTGACTCAACTTGTTCCGTCGTAAAATAGACTGGGCAAATGGACTTGACGGATAAATCCATTGATAGATATTTTCACCAAGTTCATCCATGACAACTTGTTCATGTAATGATTGAATATAAAACTGTTTCCTATCGTAGTACATCAAACATGGTCAAGAAACTGTACTTCGTATTTGAACAATTTTCAAAAATTTCTGTCTAACCTCAAAAGCAATTAATCATTCAGTTCGAGTTCAGTTCAGTTCAGTTTAGTTTCACAATAAATCTAATTTGTTACAAAATCCATAGTAACAAAAAATTTACGACTCACATTTGATTTTGTATCAAAACAATCGCGAAAACAAATACGAAAACCAATTCATATTTTTATCTTTCTCAGAATAACAGAATCAATAAAACACAATGTTATCTAATCGACACAGAAAAATCAGAATAAAATCCTTGACTCAGTCAATGGAAAAGCTTATTATCAATGTTATCAATGGAAGTTGTAAACGTTAGTATCTTGGTATTGTTTTAACAATCAGTTTAATTGTCTTTAAAAGGGTCTTTTTATTAATGATACAACCACTCATGATCGTATTACAATCATATTGAATTAAGACAATAACGATGAAGTTGTTTGTATTTTTGTGTATTCTTTTTATTCAAGTATATTTTTCATTATCGTTGGTGAGCATTGATGATCCCCAAGTATCGATATCAACTGGTCTGGTAAAAGGTAAAACTATTTCATTTCGTGGTATTGAAGTTAACCAATTCCTTGGAATACCTTTTGCTGAATCACCAACGGGCCCGTTAAGATTTAAAAAGCCAATAAGCAAAAAGCCTTGGAAAGGTGTTTTGAATGCCGATCAATGGGGACCAGTATGCTCACAACCCGCTTTAATAAACTCTAAGCAAAACAATACCGAAGACTGTCTTTATCTAAACGTCTTTGAAACTTCATCGACTCTTCGTGACCTGAAAAATGGTCTCAACAATTTACGACCAGTGATGGTTTGGATCCATGGAGGAGGTTGGGTTACAGGTTCTGCTAATATACCCGAATGGTATGACGGTACAGTGTTGGCCTCGATGAATGATGTAGTTGTAGTCTCGATAAATTACCGTTTAGGTGTATTTGGTTACTTGTATTTACCCGAATATGATGTGCCAGGAAATATGGGACTTTGGGATCAACAATTGGCACTAAAATGGGTACAAGAAAATATCAGATTCTTTGGCGGTGATCCTAGTAAAGTGACCATTTTTGGTGAATCTGCAGGATCATTTGCTGTCTCCGTTCTTCTCGTTTCCCCACAATCAAGAGGACTTTTCAATCGAGCGATCATGCAAAGTGGTACTATCCATGACTCTGCCTTGACACAGAGGCCAAATTCATCGATACATTTCCTTGAAGCCTTGAACTGTTCATCAACGATAAGCTCTTGTTTAGCCTCATATGAATATGGTGTTGATCCAAAGGTTGATGGTATCTATTTATTACCAGTTATCGGAGATGAATTTATTCCTGATACTCCTGTTAACATGATCAACAATCATGGTGTCGATCCTAATATCAGCATCTTATTGGGAACCGTTGGTTATGAGGGGGCTGGATTTATGGCCGCTAATATTGATCCAATATTATTTGATCCTTTTCATCCTGGAAATTTAACCTTGGATCAAGTTCGTAAATCACTCGATGAAGTTTTAATTTTACGTGATTATTACTCGGTTGATTATGTTATGGAAAAATATTTTTCCAATGTTAACACTAATGATTCAGATGAATTGAGGTTAATCCTCGCAAAGGCAGGAGGTGACATGTTAATCTCTTGTCCGACTTATGTGTTCGGTCGTGATCTTGTTAAAAATGGACAGTCCAATGTTTTCGCTTATTATCAAACACAAAAGCCTCGAAAGTCAATGTTTGGATTTGCTGATGGGAAAACTTGGGTACCGGTAACACACGCGGACGATATTCCGTTTGTTTTTGGCCATTCAATGCAAGAGAATTCGAACTGTGACCCTGAAGAACTGATTATCTCCAATATCATGATGAAAGCTTGGACTCATTTTGCAAGATATGGGTAATAATCATTTTGAATATTTTGTTTTCCATCTAAATTTTGGGTATTAGTTATAAAACTTTTGTCTTATAATATTTCACTTTAATTCCCACAGAAAACCAGGTTTAATCGGTGCTGATGAATGGCCGTCATGGTCAATGAATGATGGCGAAAACATCTTACATCCAACTATCGATTTCAACTCCAAAAAGATTGGTCACTATGATCAAACACCAGTCGATTTTTGCTTCGAAAATTGGCCTTTCCCGGTTGCTAAAAAATAACAAAATTCACTGCGAATTTAATATTCATTTCTTATATTTGATTTCACTTATCAAAAAATATGATTGACATTTTATTTGTATTGAGTGTTTTTCCTGTTTTCTTAATGAGAATATTTTTGGGTCTTTTGCAAATTACTACAATGAAATATTACAGATGAAAGTTAATTATGGTGATAAGATCGATGATTAGACATAGAGAGAGAGAGAGAGAGATACAATTTTGATATTATTTTGAGGATCACAATTTAGATAAGAAACTAATTCTATCTTTAATGTTTATAAATTATTCAGGCGATTGCTCTGAATATCGTCATTAGAAGTAGCCTGAATGATGGGCTGATTTCGATTATTCTGTCCATCAAGTTCATTGCTTTTAGCATCCCGGTCACTTTGGCTTAAATATCCACGACTATTTCTTATGCTAAACAAGAAATATGTGCTCAATCCTAGAGATTAAAATGAGAAATTTTTCAATTATATTGAGCCAAAAACTGCTTATTCAAAAAGAATGAGAAACTTACCGAATGCCATCCAAACAAGGAATCGATACCAAGTACGAGCACTTAAATTGTACATTAGATAGAAGTTGAACAAAGCAGATACAATGGGAAGTGCAGGCAAAAAAGGGACCTAAAATAAAATAAAAAGTAATCGAATATGGTTAATAACTTTCTCTATGAGAACAAGTAGCATTTTGAACTGGGACATTTACGAACCTTAAACGCAAGTTTAGTTTGTGATTGCGGTTGTCGGTTGAGTATAAACAGTAAACAAATGATCAGAGAAAAAGTAACTCCAACAACGATGATTGAAGATAGATCACCAGCCCGTAAGCCCTCAAAGAAGAAAGTTAAACAACCATCAAGAAATAGACAAAGAAGACCTGAAGAAATGAAGAAATGAAAAGTTTAATCGATGAACTAATCAATCAATCGTGATTCGGTAATCAACTTACTCAATGCAAATATTATCATAGTGCTGATCTCTGTTGTTTGTTTATTTGGAACTTTATAACCATCAAGATTGAACAAAATTGAAATAAAACTTGGCTTTGAGTCGATTAATTCATCCTCATCAGTACTATTTTGATACTCGTCAGTCAATTCTTCCTTTGTAACAGAGTAATTTGGATCTTCACGGTATCTAAAATACAGTGGATAAAGGGAACAATTAAACTGATAATAAAGATAAATACGAAAATCGTAAGAAAAAGTAAATTTACCGCAATATAAGTACAGATAAAGCGACCAATGTATAAGCCAAAAGTGTTCCAATTGACATCATGTCAGTTA